TATAGATGTGGTCGGGACTCGGGCTGGAGCCAGCTCACTTTTCAGCAGCAATCCTGCCTTGGCTGCTTTCCCACAGGTCAGCCATGGACGGGAAGAAAGGGAGGACAGATTTTGGGATCCGAACATATTTTGACATGTTTAAAAAGATGGAGGACACCTTCAAATTCTGTGTGGAGTGCAAGAAACTCCCTGATGCTCTTCCTGACTCCAAAAACCTGCGTCGATGCAAGAGGTACAGTTGGTCCCCCAGTGAAGTGGAGGGGTTGAGCATGGCTCTAGAGTCCTGTCCCACAGCACCAAGCAAGACCCATCCCCTGTTGCAAGTAAAAATGCTCTCAACTTCTTTGGAGTGGCTTTGAGAAGGGAAGAATTAATTCCTATCAGATACAAATGGGTTGTACTGGGCTTCTGAATGTGACACTGAAATGGATATTACACCCCTGAGCAGCAGCAGCATCCAGTTCTTGTCCTGTCATATCTCAGAGCCTGATCCCTGACCAAAGAAGTTACATGGTTGCAAGGTCATCCAGAGCCTTGCAACCCATTGGCACACCAGCTTCCCAAAACAATACCACCCAAGGGTGCAGGTGGGCTGGTTTCATACCCAGTCACCTGAGTGACCAAGTACTTGATGATAACTAGGCATGCTCCAAGCTGCCCTTGGCATAAGTCTGGAGCAAGGGTCCAACTCTGGTACCACAGCAAACCACCCTAACCACTCTGTCATCACACCCCATTGATGTTCTCTAAGGTGAATCTGATGTCTGTGGGTCACCTGTCCCATCCAGGGCTGGCAGAGGCAAGAATGCACTGAAATCCAGGGGAGACCAGACTCCTTGAGGCTGTTCTCACAAGCTCTGTCTGTGAGACCCTTCTCCATCAGCTTCCAGGATATGTATTGCTGCAGCCTGGTGCCCCTACTCCTTCTTCTTCTCTCACCCTCCCTCCAGGTGCCAGAATGTGTACTACTGCAGCCCTGAGTGCCAGCGGGCCAACTGGCCTGTGCACAAAAAGTTCTGCAAAAAGCTCAAGTTGGTAGCCCTTGACCGGCTGGTGGAGTGGCTCGTCTTCACAGGTAGGAAATTTGGGTTTGCTCTCCATGCCCCAGTGGACTGGTGTTGAGCAGGCTGGCCTCTCTAGAGCCAGAGGAAGGCAATGGCATTTCTCATTTGACTGCCTCTGCACCAGCTTACTAGCCAGCTTCCTCAGGTGGATAGTAAGGCTCCAAAGAACAGCAAGGGGATGGGGCTAGGGGTCAAACTGTAGGCTCTGTCCAGAGCTGCTTCTACTCTCTGCCAGCTCCTCACCCTACCTGACACTCCTGGTTTTCTGGGGTCTCAGAGACCAGCCCTCAAACACTGCCTTTAAAATGCAGTGAGCACCTCCCACAGTGACAGAGAGCCAGGCAGTGATTGGCAGTATGGGAATCTAACAACTGCACAAATGCATGTACTCCAACCTGCAGGAACTCCTGATTTTGCTCCTGCTTCTCAACCATTCAGGGTATGTCTGAAACCTGTATACTTGCAACCTTTCTCCTGGTTTGGCTGGCACAGCCCTGATGGTCTCATGGGTTCCCACCCTCCCATCCTCCTGTTTCCTATTCAGTAGCTACCACACCACATCCTGGCTCAGCAACAGGCATGCTTAACCCAAGTTAAGCTGACAGAGCCCCATGGCCAGTTTTCTTAAAGACTTAATGATATTCTCCAGGGAAAGGGATCTGTCCCACCTAGTGGAGGCAGGAGCCCGAAGAGTTAAGCTTGTCTGTATTTCTCCCACCAGGTGATATTCCTTTCCCCACGGAGACCTGGACTAAGCGCATCCAGGAAGTAAAAGGCTGGGAAGACTGGTTTGCCATGCAGGAGCACCTGGATGAAAAGCTGGGTGCTGTACTAACAGGGCGTTACATGACCATCCTCTGGGCCAATGCTGGGAAGCCAAAGCCAGAGGAGGGAGAGCTGCTGGAGTCCATCAAGCGGCTGACCTCAGATTTCCAGTCCCGACCAATCACCATTGGCTTGGGGCTCCATGCTTTCAGTATTGACCCCTATGCCAAGCCCATCACTGTGCATGTGGCTGGGGCTTCCCACATCGAGACCCTCAACACCCGGGTGATAGATTATGATGAGATCACACAGATATTTCCTGGGCACCAGGGCATTGAGGTGGTAATGGTTGGAGTGGATGTAGTTGATGGATCCATCATGAGACCTCCTCTGACAGCCTTTGGACCCAGGGGTAGAGTCTACCTCAGCAGCTATAAAGGCCTCTATCATGACTTTTGGGAATCCCAAGTAGAAACTCAGCAGGCTGCACGTCCGGACCTTGTGGTGGGCTTTCATCCAGGTGAGTGCCTGGGCAGAGCCTCACTATGGTTGTGTCGAAGAGGGGGTACCTCATCCCCCTGGGCCCACAGAGCTGGCCCCATCCTGGGT